ATTTATCTCACATTGACTGCATAGCTGTATGCAAGGTACCGGAGAAAAAAAAAAAAAAAAAAAAAAAAAACAAACAATCAAAACCATTCTGAGTTTGTATGATTCTCAAGCACCTAGCAGAAGAAGGAATATGTTCTTCAACATGACACTCAAAAATTACTAATGATAAAGTTCATTAGATACTTTATTTAAAACAAATCCCAAGACACAAAGCCTAATGTTAAGAGCATAAAAAACAACAAAATAAATATAAAACAAACATAACACATAAAATAAAAATAATAAACATAAAACAAAAACAACATATACAAGGTATAATAGGAATTACAATTATCAAGTACAAAGTATAATGATTAAGTATAATATTTCAAAACATAAAAGAAAGTATTAGAGTAAGTGTGGAAAGCAGGACACTTAAATGTCTGCTTAAGATTTATCCATTGTGATTGTTCAATCAGATGCTCATGTAGGTATTGCTCTGAAGGAACATTACAGATATAATTAAATGAATAATCAAGCCAATTTAAAATAAGGGAACTCTGCAATATTATCCACATGTACCACTGAAATGATAAAACCTTAAGAAGAGAAGGCAGATGGGCAGGGAGACGAAACATAATAGCAAGTCAGAATGAGAAGGACCCAACTCACCATAGCTAGCCTTGAAGGTGAAAGAGATCTCAGGGCAAGGGATGCAGGAAGCCTTGAAAAGCCAAAAGTCACCGTTGGCTGAAGCTCAGCAAAGAAAGTGGGCCCTCAGCTGAAGGAACCTGGATTTTACCATCCAGCCAGGTGAGCCTCAGAGCAGATCTCCCTAAAGGCCTTCAGTAAGGAATGCAACCCTGAAAATACAATGATTTTAGTTCTGTGAGCCTTATTTTAGACTTTGAATCTATACAACTTTAAGATAATGATAAAAGTATTGTTTTTAGCCACTAAATCTGGGGTAATGTGCTATGGCAACAATAAAATACAAAACAATGTGCAACAAGAAACTCTCAAAAGTGAGAAGATCTGAATATAGACATTTTAGAAATGGAAAGTATAATAAAATTTAAAACTCAATAGATTAAATAGCACACTATACAAACCAGAAAATCAAAAGTGTGAACATGAAGACAAGTTCCAAAAAAATTAAGGAGAATATAACACGAGAGGAAAAAATAGAACTCAGAAAGGGAGGTTAAGAAAAAGCAAGTTAAAATAAGAAATGTAGCATATGCTTAATCAGAACTCCAGGAATAGATAATAAAAAGAATAAAGGAGAAAAAATAACTGAAAATACAATGGCTGAAACTTTTAAAAATATTAATAAAAGAACAAATCATAATATTCAGGAAGCAGAATGAATCCAAGCAGGACTAAAAAAATGAAATATGAAATCAACATTTGCTTGCGTGATAGTGAATCACAGAACATTAAAGGAAAAGAAAAGAACTGAGTAAAGAGAAAATAGCATCATCAATTTAGAAAAGTGATGAGTATCTTTAAGTACCAAAACAAAGAACTATCAATTCAGAATTATACATCTGGAGACTCTCTTTTCAGAATGAAAGGAAGAATGAAGGTTTCATACCAACAAAATCTGAGTTCACTGCCAAACATTCACCAAGGGCCTTCTAAAAGACACAATAAAGGGAGGAGAAAAATAAAAAAATAATTAAAAAGGAAAATATGTGATGCAAGAGAAAGGGTAAATAAACAAATTGGTAAATATGTAGGTTAAAAAGCCAGAATATTGGGGGCATGTATTGGATTAATTCAAAGGTCACTGAGAATATTCTAATTGCTTGCTTATTCAGAAGACAGGCAGAAAAAATACTTAATTGAAGAAGTTGTTAATTTACATGATAGTGTTTTAAAGATAGGTACAAAAAGAATATCAAACATCCCCAAAGTACTGGTAGAAACTAAGGGCAGATAAAGAGGGGGCAGAGAGCAAAGAAAACAAAAAGGGAGAAAAATGGAACTGGAATACCTGAGGCAAAAATAACACATAGTACAGGAAGCATTCTGAACATACCAATTGTCAAAATAAATATAGATGGGTTAAATTCACAAATTACAAATCAAAATTATCATCCCGGATTTTTAAATCTAAGTATGTTACTTACATAAATTGCACCTAAATAATAAAGACAAAATTTGAAAGATAGAACATTTAAAATATTTAAAATACTTACCAGTAGTAACTTGGTATAAAAATATCAAAATTAGCCCCCAAATAATTTAGGGTAAAATTTTAATGCAAGCAAAGCAAGTTATGAAATCATAATAAAAAAATTACCAGGAAGCTAAAATTGTTCTAAACTGTATTCATCTAATAACCTAGATTCAAATCATAGAAAGCAGAGATTAGCAGAACTGAAAGGATAAATGAAGGAAAGAATTTGATATACCTCATTCATAATTGGCCTGTAAAGAAGAAAATAATTCAATATTAATACTGAAAAATCAAGT